GAGTAGCTGCTTTAGGGATGTGGCCTACTACCCGTACATAAAAAACAGCTTTGGGAATGGTCTCCAGCTTATGGCACGCTTGAACCCTGCATGTAGCTGAGTCATTGACTTGAATTAATGGCCTGCCATGTGGTTTGGTAATATTGGGACTGTGCCGTGTTACTTGTCAACCTTGGGTTTGTCAGCCTCAGCAGCCAGCAGCTGAGTGAAGAAAAGCCTCCAGTTTCAGTGGGCCAGGAGCAAGAGCCGGAGCTGAAGCCCAAGGTTAAGGGGCTTTCATTCAGTCCCTAGAGCCTGGCACTTTGAACTCAGACTTAAAGCCTCCAAACTGTAAGAGAATAAATTCCTGTTTGTTCAAGCGTTCCATTTCTGATATATTCCTGTCAGAGTGGCACTAGGTAACCAAAATAATCACTTTGAGTCACAGACGACTCAACAGCACCTAACAACAACAACCAAGGAAGTTACATGAGTGATTGGCTGATGGAGAGGAGGTGATGTATAAACGTGTTATTGACATTTGTGGTCTAATTGAGAATTATTGATCCAAGGTGTGAATCTTTTCTCATATTTTAAATATGTTAATGTGTCCATAAAAATGGAATTCTGATTTATTTCACTCTGTTACAAAGTTTTAAAAAGTGAATCAATTGTTGGCCATTTCTTAAAATTAATTTACCTCTGAGACTTTATACTGCCTTGGAAACCCAATGGTGGTCAGTATGAGTTGGAATCAACTCGATGGCGGTGGGTTTTTTCTTCTTTTTTTTTTTTTTTGTGGTTAAATAAGCTTAAAGTGTATTGTGTTAGAGTGCTGTTTTTATAAGTGCATGCTTAAAGAAAACTGGTAAGAAGAACTCAGAAGAAAATAGTATAATTTATTTTCAAATTGTGACAACTTTCATAAAAGGTAATAGGACAGTATTTTGATTACTGAAATTAGAACAGGGATGAGGAATGAATTACTCATTAGCTAACTGACTTCCACTTCTAATACCAATGTAAGTAAGAAGTCACTGATCAAACTCCTAACTTCTCATGAAATTCCTGGGGCACGAATGACTTCTGCAAAGGCCATTATGAATACACATCAAGGGTGCCAAGGGTGAAGTGGCAACATGAGGAATCCACAGGCTAAGAGGCTTCACCCCTGGAAGCACTGCAAATCAAGGACAGTGGGCCTCTTGTAGAGAGCAGCACAAGAATAAAACCATTTTTAACTGCAAAACAAAAATTACATTGTCAAAGATTTAAAGAAGCTAAGTAGATTAAATAAAATGCATACAAGTGAAGAATTCTCAAGGCTGGAGAAACTTAGGGCCATGCAGACAAATGAAGGCTTTCTCAGAAAAGCTGAACAATGTTTATGGTCCTACTATACTTGGGACTGTAGTGTCATTGAAAAGTGGAAACCCAGCTGTCACCTAAAACAGGAAGGGAATTCTGCAGATTTGGCAGCAATCCTTCAGCTGTGTCCTTAATACCCGTCTTGGATCTGCTACAGTGTGACGTTACTACAGAGCTCAAAGAGGTCATGAAGATCACTCCAGGAGATTGGTAAATTTGTCAGAATACCAAGAAAGGAATAAATTGCTGATATAAACTGCGATTCTTCTCAGTTGAATGGATTCTGAAAAACCAGTTGAATGGATTGTGGAAACTATCACATAGTTCAGGTAGGTAGAATCCTGAGATCTTTTTCTTTTCAGAATCCCTCACATATGGGAGCTCTGTTGGTGTAGTGCTTAAGGCATTTGACTGCTAACCAGAAGACTGGTGGTTCAAACCCACCAGACACCTCTCAGAAGGAAGACTGGGCAATCTACTTCCACAGAGATACCGCCTCAGAAACCCAAGGAGGGGTTGATATGAGTCGGAATTGACTCGACAGCAGTGTTTGGTTTGGTTTTGGAACTATCACATCACTCCCTAAATCCTTCCATCAGTAGTTCTCATTAGTACCATTACCTTTACTCAACTTCAAAATTTGAATCACCTGTGACTCCTCTTTTTCTCCACCTTCCATCTCCTGTGACCTACCAAGGCCAGCAGGTTTTCTCTCTTCATCTGAAATCCATTTTGATCTTAAAGGCCATTTTGATCTTAAAGGTCAGTTCCCTGATTCAGCTCTTCACTTCCTCCTACCTAGACTATTACACTAATTTTCTATTCCTTCGGCTTCCAGTATTTCTTCCTTTAATACATTTTATAACCACTATAAAATTCATCTTTCTAACATATAGTTGGAATTATACAGGTCCTCCTTGCAAAACATCCTCAATTGTTCCATGGCTCTAAACCAACTACGTATTTTTCCGGGTGGCATTCAAGACCCTAGTAATCTCTCAGCTCTGTTGCCACAGTTCCCCAATGCATAGCCTGAGTATTATCCATATATGTTCAAATAAGAGCCACACAACTCAGTCTCCTTGTACGTTTGTCAAACTGCTTTTTTTATCTGGATCTCACCATGTACACATCTCAATGTATTTATACTTTATCTATTTTCCAGGATCCATATCAAGCACAGCCTCCTCAAAGAAAATTTTCTCCAACTCAATATCATCTTCTTCCCTGAATCCTTCACATTTTCCTTGGCACCTATTATGATCGGCTTTCTTTTATAATTATCTATCTTATTTGCTATATTTTTCTATCTTATCTGTCTGGTAGCATAGTGGGTAAGATATTTGGCTGTTAACCAGAAAGTCAGTGGTTCAAACCCACCAGCTACTCTGCAGGAGGAAGATGAAGCAATCTACTTCTGTAAAGATTGATAGCCTTGAAAACCCAATGGAAGTCGCTATAAGTCAGAATCAACTTGATGGCAGTGGGTTTGGTTTGGGTATCTGCTACAAGGAGCTCAAGTGGCACAGTGCTCAAGCACTTGGCTGGTAAGCAAAAAGTTGGCAGTTCAAACTACTAACTGTTCTGTGGGAGAAAGATTGGCAGTCTGCTTCTGTAAGATTTACAGTCTTAGAAACCCAATGATTATGTAGTTCTGTTCTGCCTTACAGGGTCACTATGATTTGGATTGACTCAATGGCAATGGGTTGGTTTTTACTTTTGTTTTGTTTTTGTTATTGTTCCAGTTACCTAGTAGCACTCTGGCAAGAATATGTACCACAAATGGAATGGCTTAAACAAACAGAAGTTTATTCTCTTACAGTTCAGGAGGCTAGAAGTCCAAGTTCAAAGTGCCAGGCTCTAGGGGCTGGGTGAAAGCTCCTCAGTCTTGGGCTTCAGCTCTGCCTCCAGATCCTGGCCCACTGAAGCTAGAGGCTTTTCTTCACTCAGATAGCTGCTAGCTGCTGAGGCTGCCAAGCCCAAGGCTGACAAGTAAAAAGGCACAGTCCCAATGTTACCAAACCACATGGCAGGCCGTTAATTCAAGTCTATTGTAAGTCCCCAGGTCAGCAGAGCACGGTATGCTGCTGAATGACGACATGGTTACATGCAGGGTCCAAGCGTTCCATAAGCTAGAGACCATTCCCCAAAGCTTCTGCTTACATATAGGAAGCAGACCACCTTCCTTAAGGCAGCTACTCAGCTGCTCACAGTACATTCCACCATGGAGTTGATTACCAGTCTCATCATGGGGAATAACTACCACCAGCTGCCCAGCCACTCAACCAGGCCCAGCCAAGTTGACACACAAACTGAACTACCACAGTTATCTACTATAATTTCCATTGAACTAATGTTTACTAAGACCTGGCATAGTGCTTAAGGCATTTGACTGCTAACCAGAAGGTTGGAGCTTCAACCCCATGAGCCACTCCACAGAAGGAAGACTGGGCAATCTACTTCCATAGAGATTTACTGCCTCGGAAACCCAAAGGGGGATGCTATTAATCAGAATAGATTTGATGGCAGTGATTTTTTTTTTTTTTTTTTTAATGTACCAGGCACTGTATCAGATACCCAGAATACAAGGGCAAATAAAACAGAGGTGACTCCTCAAATCTTATAAGAGTGAGTTGAGCTAACTGTCATTGAACCGCTTAGCAGAGCACATAGTAAATAGTTAAACCAACTATTCAGTCAAGGTGGTATAAAATACCTCATAAACATATCAAATGTCATGTAATTTGACATGTTTTTGTGTTGTTTAAAAATCATAATTTTATTAATAAATAAGGATCATTAAAAATGGGAAATGTAAGAATCTTATAAAGTAATCTTTAAGCCCATAATTAAAGACCGGTGGTTCACTATCAGGAGCTCTGGTGGCGTAGTGGGTAAGGCATTTGGACGCTAAACAGAAGGTTGGCAGCTCAAACCCACCAGCTGCTCCTCAGGAGGGAGATGAGACAATTTACCTCTGTAGATTTACAGTCTTAGAAGCCCAATAGGGGTCGCTATGAGTCGGAATTTTTTTTTTTTTTTTGGTTCACAATAGCAAAAGTGGAAGAAATATCAAAACCAGTGGCAAAAATATCCATTTTTTCCCAAAACATTCAAAAGTTGTTTATAGTTTTTAAAAAAACAATAAAAGGATGGAAGGAATAAACATCTGACTTTAGTATCAATGTGACTTTAAATGAATATAATTGAATGAATTAATGAAAAAAGTGTGTTTGGTGGGTTGCTTTTCTTTTTTGACAGTTTTTTGATTCATTCATTTTGAATCTGTCATTGTAGAATCTCAGAAATTCACATCAAGATAATATAATTATTTAAATATCATCAGGTAAAATCACATAAAAAGCTAAAAGAATACAACAATGAGATGTGTTACCTTAAATTATCATTAAGGTGGGAAACAAGACAAGATTTCACTTGGGTCCATATTCTTGACTCTTTAAAGAAACTAAACTTCTGCATTTAAAAGAGCGGGAACTTCTTCTATACAGTCTAGTTTTAAATAAGTATGCAAATTATTACATCTCAATTATTCTATTTCTTCTCAGTTTCAAATATCCTCAGTATTCAAAATAGTCACCCTCATCCATATTCACCTCCCCACCACACCTTTGTTCCACTGATTCCCCATTTACCTCGTATGCATCTTTGATGTTCAAGGGCTCTCCAAGTGCTGCCACATGTCCCACAATGCCTTTGTTCCATTCTAAGCGGATACAGTTATTTGAAGCTTCTTCCAGTGTTGAGCCTTCAGCAACATCAAAGAGGCGGCTGATAAGAAACTTGTCATTGGAGCTGTCTTCACAGACAAGGAACAAGGAATAGCGGTCAGCAGAGATGAGTCCATGGATATGCAAGAAAATTTTGTGGCATAAGGCTGTGACATCCAAATGACTAGAAATATCTTTCACTAATTCCAAGAGCCGTGAGCATTGATCTCCTTCATTATCAAACCTTGGGGGGGTTAGAGGCATCTGTTCCTTCTTTTCTGAGTCAGAGAGGAAGCTCACAGTTCCCTCAGAATCCTTGACGACAATTGGTCTAAGAGGCCGATCAAATTCAGAAGCAGAGATTTTTCTGGTTGGTGTTCCAGAGGCACCGTTATCTGCACGAGAAGTCTGCTGCGAGGGGCAAGAGCAAGATTCGGTGTGGCCTCTGAGGCCTTCCTTGCAGACAGGGATGGTGTGAACTCTTTCAGCAAACCATGCATTGACCATTTCTCTGCAGAACAGAACATCCAGACACATTAAACATTTGAAGAGTAACGGTGCTACTCCTAAAACTAAACCAAAAACAGGCTCATTGCTACTGAGTCAATCCCAACTCATGGTGACCCCATCTATTATAGAGTAAAACTGTTCCATGGGGTTTTCTTGGCTGTAATTTTTATGGAAGCAGACCACTAGGTCTTTCTTCTGTAGTTGCACTAGCTGGGTTCAAACTGTCAATTTTTAAGATAGCAGCCAATCATAGATCACATGTACTAACTACTCAGGGATCTTTTACAATAAATTGATCAGATGATGATTTCATTTCTTGTAGAAAAAAAAAATGGTGGTTTAGTTAAGACTGACAATTTCATTGTCAAAAATTATAAAAGGTATTTGCTTCAAAGAACATTTTAGGCACTTTATCACCAAAGGAGAAAAATTAAAAAGTGGTAGCACCTAATTTAAAAAATTCAATCCAATAAAACAGATTGCTTATGTTTTTATTATACTTTCCTATAAAATAAATCCATGTGAGATAAAGTCTTCACAGTATGATTAAAAAACAAACATCAGATTAATCACATCCAAATAAGTGTTGTTCAATTCAAACAATTCTCCTTTGAAAACTCTTCATTTTATATCTGTTGATAGTGCCATTGCTTTAAACATTTTTGGAACTCTTCTTTTAAAACTAACTTCTGAGACAATTTATAAGCCAAATAAGAACATTAGTTTCTTCTAAAAGCCAGGCCTTATTTTTCACTAACCCCTCCTCCTAAAATAAACAAACAAAAACAAAAAATAAAAATCCTAGGATGATCTCCAACTTGATTATTTAGCTTATGCCTATCAAAAAAAAAAACACAAAAAAACCAAACTCACTGCCATTGAATCAGATCTAACTCACAGTGACCACTTCCTGGGTTTCTGAGGCAGGATCACTACAGAAGTACACTGCCCAATCTTTCTTCCGAGGAGTGGATGGTGGGTTTGAACCACCAGCCCGCTGGTTAGCAGTCAAAATGCCTCAGGCACTACGCCACCAGAAGTTTTTCCAAAACTCAAAATACCTTCAAAAGATAAATCTTCCTACCACTGAGGATATTTGAAAGAATTTGCCTATTTCCGATATACAATGACATACTCAATTAGTTTTACCAAACAGGCCAAGAGAAAAAAAGCTTGACAATGCACTATTTTGGAGAACAGGGTGATTTAAGACATTATTCAATCTTCTGGGCTGTAATTAAAAACTGGTATCACCTCTTTGGAGGGCAGATAGACAATATCTACTAAATTTTTAAATATATTTATCCTTTGTTCCAGAGATTTCACACATATGGCAAAAGAAGTCCAAATGTATTTACTGTAGCACTGTTAAATACACAATGGAACACTCCAAAAACCAAATCCACTGCCATAGAGTCGTCTCTGACTCATAGTGACCCCTCCTTGGGTTTCTGAGGCAGTATCACTATGGAAGTAGATCGCCCAACCTTCCTTCTGAGGAGTGACTGGTGGGTTTGAATCACCATCCTTCTGGTTAGCAGTCAAATGCCTTAGGCACTATGCTACCAGAGCTCCTTAATGGAACACTAGGCAGACATTAAAAATCAAATGCCACCACTTGTCTAGCAGTTTGTCATACTCCGGTGGCTAGCATGTTGCTGAGAGGTTGGAGGCTATGCCACCGGTATTTCAAATACCAGTTGGGTAACCCATGGTAGACAAGTTTCAGTGGAGCTTCTAGAATAAGACAGACTCAGAAGAAGGAAGGGGCCATCCACTTTTCAAAGAATTGGCCAGTGAAAACCTTATGAACAGCAGTGAAAACTGTCTGATATAGTATTGGAAAAGCTTTATGAATAGCCCTGAAACTTTGTCCAATAAAAGTGCCAGAAGATGACCTCCTTAGGTCAAAAGACACTCAAAATATGACTGGGGAAGAGCTACCTTCTCAAACTAGAGTACTTCAATGATGTGGATGGAGCAAAGCTTTTGGGACTTCTATTTCTTGATGTGGCAAGATTCAAAATGGGAAGAAATAGCTGTAAGCATTCATTCATAATCAGAACATGCAATTATGAAGCATGAATATAGGAAAACTGGAAGTTGTCAAAAATGAAATGGAATGCATAAACATTGATATCCTAGGCATTGTTGTTGTTATGTGACATTGAGTTGGACCCAACTCATAGCGACCCCTCCTGCGTTTCTGAGGCAGTATCACTACGGAAGTAGATTGCCCCATCTTCCTTCCTAGGAGTGGCTGGTGCGTTTGAACTGCCAGCCTTCTGGTTAGCAGTCAAGTGTCTTAGCCACTATGCTACCAGAGCTCCCATCCTAGGCATTAGTAAGCTGAAACGGACTGATTTTGGCCATTGTCAATCAGACAACCATATGATCTACTATGCCGGGAATGACAAATTGAGGAGGAATGGTCTGGCACTCATCATCACAAAGAATGTTTCAAGATATACCCTGAAGGGCAATGCTGTCAGTGATAGGGTAATATCCATATGTCTACAAGTAAGACTAGTTAAAACTATGATTATTCAAATTGACACACCATCCACCAAAGCCCAAGATGAGGAAATTAAAGATTTTTACCAATTTCTGCAGTCTGAAATTGACCAAATATGTAATCAAGATATGTTGATTATTACTGGTGACTGGAATGCAAAAGTTGGAGACAAAGAGGAATCACCAGTAATTGGAAAATATAGTCCTGGTGACAGAAACGACACTGAAGATCTCATGACAGAATTCTGCAAGACCAATGACTTATTCGTTGCAAATACTTTTTTTCAACAACATAAACGGTGGCTAGACACATTTAGATTTCACCAGATGGAATACACAGGAATCAGATTGCCTACATGTGTGCAAAGAGGTGATGGAGAAGCTCAATATCTACAGCCCAAACAAGGCTAGGAGCTGACTGTGAAACACACTATTAACTGCTCATATGCAAGTTCAAGTTGAAGCTGAGAACAATTAAAATAAGTCCACAAGAGCCAAAATATGACCTTGATTATATCCCTCCTGAATTTAGAGACCATTGAACACTGATGACCAAAAAACCAGATGAACTGTGTGGGATAATATCAAGAATATCATCCATGAAGAAAGCAAAAGGTCATTAAAAAGACAGGAAATGAAGAAAAGACCAAAATGGATGTCAGAAGAGCCTCTGCAAGTTGCTCTTGAATAGAGAATAGCTGAAGCAAATGGAAGAAATAACAAGATAAAAGAGTCGAACAGATGATTTTAAAAAGCAGCTCAAGAAGACAAAGTCAATTATTATAATGAAATGTGCAAAGGCCTGCAATTATAAAACCAAAAGGGAAGAACATGCTTGGCATTTCTCAGGCTGACAGAACTGAAGAAAAAATTCAAGCTTCCAGTTGTAATACTGAAAGATTTTATGGGCAAAATATTGAATGATTCAGGAAACATCAAAAGAAGATGGAAGGAATAACAGAGTCACTGTAACAAAAACAATTGGTCTTTCATCCATTTCAGGAGGTGGCATATGATCAAGAACTGATGGTACTGAAGGAAGTGGAAGCTGCACGGAAGGAATTGGCTAAAAACAGGCTTCAGGAATTGATAGGATAGCCACTGAGATGTTTCAACAAATAGATGCAAGTGCTTACTTGTCTATTCCAAGAAATTTGGAAGACAGCTACCTGGCCAACAGACTAGAAGAGATCCATATCTGTACCCATTCCAAAGAAAGGTGACCCCACAGAACATGGAAATTATCAAACAATATCACTGATATCACATGTAAGTAAAATATTACTGAAGATTGAAGATAATTAAAAAATGGTTGCAGCAATATATTGACAGGGAAGTTTCAGAAATGCAAGCTGGATTCAGAAGAGGATGTAGAGTGAGGGATATCATAGCTGATGTCAGAAGGATTTTGGTTGAAAACAAAGAATACCAGAAAGAGGTTTACTTTGTTTTATTGACTATGCAAAGGCATTTGATTGTGTGGATCTTAACAAATTATGGATAACAGTGAGAAGAATGGGAACATGAGAAACCTGAACATAGATCAGGAGGCTGTTGTTAGAACAAAACAAGGGTATACTGTTGTTGTTATGTGCTGTTGAGTTGGACTCGACTCATAGGTACCCCTCCTTGGGTTTCCAAGGTGGTATCACTACAGAAGTAGATTGCCCAACCTTCTTTCCAAGGAGTGGCTGGTGGGTTTGAACAGCCAGCCTTCTGGTTAGCAGTCAAGTGCCTTAGGCACGATGCAACCAGAGGTCCCTGCATGGATTAAAATCAGGAAGGGAATGTTTCAGGGTCATATCCTTTTACCATACTCATTCAATCCGTATGCTGAGCAAATAATCCGAGGAGCTGGACTCTACAAAGAAGAGTGTAGCATCAGGATTGGAAGAAGAGTCATTAACAACCTGTAATATGCAGAGGACACAACCTTGCTTGCTCAAAGTGAAGATGATCTGAAGCACTTAGTGATAAAGCTTAAAGACTATACTCTACAGTATGGATTACACCTCAACATAAACCAAACCCACTGCCTTCAGGTCAGATCTGACTCATAGCGACCCCTCCTTGGGTTTCTGAGGCAGTATCACTACAGAAGTAGATTGCCCAACCTTCCTTACAACTGGACTAATAAGCAGCCTCACAGTAAATGGAGAAAAGGCTGAAGTTGTCAATGATTTCATATTGCAATGGAAACAGCAGTCAAGAAATTAGACCATGTATCACACTGTGCAAAAAGGTTACAAAAGACCTCTTTAAAGTGCTGAAGAGCAAAGATGTCTCTTTGAAGACTAAGGTAACACAAGCCATGGTGTTTTCAATCACCTCATATGCATATGATAGCTGGACTATAAATGAGGAAGACTGAAGAAGAGTTGATGTTTTTGAGTTGTGATGTTGGCAAATACTGAAAGTACCATGGACTGCCAGAAGAACGAACAAATCTGTCCTGGAAGAAGTGCTGCCAGAATGCTCCTTGGAAGC